CTCCACATATGTCTTTACAAATTTGGTTAAATTAGTTCTTACTAGAGTTTATTTGCTGTTGCTGTATTTTTCTTGTGATGTTTTCTTACTAGTCATTGCTCTGGCAAAGGTATCAATTGTGATAAGCAAGGTATTTATTTTGAAATCATTGAGCTTATTAACTTTCTTATTAGTCTACAAGTTCTGCTGACTCTCTAGTTTTCCAGGAAGACAAAATTGTCATTTTAAAGTAATGATGTTTGGTCACCTTTCCTGTATGTATGTCTCTCATCAGTTTTCCTGTGCTATCCTAATGCTCATGACGTTGTCTGATATGACAGTCACTAGCCACATGTGGCTACTTACACTTAAGTTAATAAAAATGAAATGAAATTACAAATTCAGTTTCTCAATTGCACTAGCCACATTTCAAGTGTCCAAGAACCACATGTGGCTTGTGGCCACCATTTCAGAACATTTCTATCATGACAGAAAGTTCTGTAGGACGGTGCTGCTGGAACTTTCAGATCAATGTTGAATACAGTGGTGAAGTGGGTTATTCTGCTTTGTTATTAACTTAAAAGTAAGTTCCTCTGAATAATGACTTTTAATAATGATATTGTGTTTTGAATTCAAATATCTTGATATGCTTTTTATTATGTTAAAGAAGTCTTATCCTCGTCCTAGTTTTTAAAAAGTATTTCTTAAAATTAGGAATGGATAACGAATTTAATTATCTTCTTGATAATCAATAAATTTTGCTATATGAGAGGTAAATGCCCCTTATTTCAAAATTGTCTTAGCTGTCTTGGTTCTTTTTAAATACACTGCTGGATTTTGCTTGCCAGCATTTTTATTTAGATGTTTGTCTTCAGTGAGCTTGATCTCAAATAGTTTCGATACTTTTAGTGCCTCTGTCTAGTTTTTTCCTAAAAGGCCACAATTATATTAGTACCATAGAAAGAATTAAAAGCTTCCTCTGTATTTCTTTTCTCTGGAACAGTATGTTTTAAAATTTGGTAAAACTGGTGTGAAAATAATCTGGGGCTGAGGGAGGGATTTCCTCGAATCCCCTTCTAGTTCATGCATTTCATCTTCATCTGTCTCTAAACACATTGTTTAATCCATTCATGAAATTGTATTTTAGTAAATAAGCTTTTTCAAATCTAGAATTTATTTACTGAGTTCTTCTGCAAATCTGCCTGTGTTGGGTGTTCTTTCCCCTCTGAACTGTTTGATCTCTTTACATATTTTAAATGTGTTTGTTTTACATTATCCTTCAACCATCTTTATATGGTTTGTTATTTTGTGCTGCAAGCCCATCTTTAGAGGGAATTGTTTACTGTAGGCACGCTGTGGGTTGGGTTGTGTGGAAAGCCCCTACAGAATGGATGGGCAAGGCCTTTGTAGGGATCAGGACAGTTGTAGACATATTTTGAAATGAGTTTCTTTGACTTGGTGCTTCTGTATTACATGGGCGATATAACATCATTACACTTGTAGATTTTGTTCCCCTGCCTGCTTTCTTGCTCAAATTAATGTGTGATGCAGTGCTCTGGAGCCTGATTTCTGCAGGGGCTCTGATCTTGTCTGATGCCTTGCACAGGGCTAAGATCTGTCCTGGGTCTGCATCAGCATCGAGATCACAGCCTGCAGAACCTCCGGCTTGGAGTCCCCATGACTTTGCTTCCTGTTTAGGTTTTCATTCCCTTGGCTCTCATATTTGGGTATTTCCCCTTCTTTCTTTGAATGGGACCACATGTGACAGTTTTAAAAACTGTCTTAGATTTCTAAGTGGTTGATTTTATCTTTAAGCAAGTGCAAGGAAAGTAGGAGAGAAGGAGGTATGAAAGTATAATTTTTATCTTTTGGCTCTGTTTATCATCTAAGAATGTATCTAAACAATTTCTACTTTATAGCATTAATATTTTGGGATTTTATTTGTGTCTTAGCCTGATAAATTTGTAAGGCTTTAAAAAGGTATAATACATATACTGTTTGTACTCTATCTCTTTAATTTTTTACTAGTAAGTTCATTCAGAGACTTGGAAAATTATATTAATATCTTCAACTATAAATATAATTTGTCAATGTATTCTTTTATCAGGTTTGCTTCATGTAATTTGCTACTGCATTATTTGTTGAAGACCCTAGAGCCATTTCAGCCTTAGCTTCATGACTGGGTCTCAGACTTACCTTTTTCTGATTAATAATAGCACTTTTATTCTCTCTCTCTCTCTCTTTTTTTTCCAATCAGGGTTTTACTCTGTGGCCCTGCCTGGAGTACAGCGGCACAATCACAGCTCACTGCGTGAACCTCTGGGTTCAAGTGATCCTCCTGTTTCAGCCTCCTGAGTAGCTGGAATTGCAAATACATATCGCTATGCCCAGCTAATTTTTTGACTTTTTTCTTTTTGTAGAGACAAAGTCTTGCTGTTACCCTGGCTGGTCTCAAACTCCTGTGCTCAAACAATCCTTCCGCCTTAGCATTCCAAAGTATTGGGATTACAGGAGTGAGCCACTGCACCCAGCTCTCTTTTTGTTACAAAATGTAATGCAGCCTTTAGGAAAAAAAATCTTGAAAAAGAACATATATAACATAATGAAAAACAACAGATTAACATCTTAAAACTTGAGGTATAGAAGTGGGAAAGAGAATAGAAACATAAAGGAATCTAAATGCAATTTACTTGACAGGGAGGAATTATTCATGAGGTTGATAGAAAAATATATATATTAATGTGCTGCGTTTTAAATGTATCTTTTCTGTTTTCCTCAGGTTCTTATTCATATTATTTACTGACTGGAAATGAACAGGAGAATTAATAAATGAAGGTCAAGTGTCTTCCTCAAATTCTAATTTTCTCTCTTAATTAGAATATTTTAAATAATTATATGTTTCAGTCTTGGAGTGTTGCCTGCAGCATATAGTATGACCCATTCACTATCTTCTCTGTGCTGCAAGCACAGCTAGGTTTGTGGGTTAAGTTACATCCCTACTCCAACAGCTTATCTTTCTTTTTGATTATGAATGAGGTGGTGAACCTCATGTTGCATGTATTTGCAAGTATATGCACAGGTTCACCACCTCATTCATAATGAGGAAAAGAGAGAGGAGGAAGAGAGAGAAAGGAAGAGAGGACGTTGAAAGAGGACGGGCTGGGTCATACCCTAAGAAATAATATTTCATGGAGAAGTTGGAAAGTATGCCTTCAAAATGTTACTCTACAAATTCATAGTAAATTTGTATTTCATCTTATCTTAGCACAGCATCTGGTGTAACCTTTCAGGCAAAGGGATGTAATGTAGGTTATCTCTAGTCCCATCCTACTTCTATTTATCCTTAGAGAGGTTGGGTCTGAAAGCTCGCTTGTCTGGAAAGCCTTTTTTTTTTTTGAGTTGGAGTCTGGAAAGTGTTGACATCTTTGAGTTAAACCCTCAGGAATTTCTGATCTTAGTCTTGGGATTTTGGTTAAAGAGAAGGGGAAGGAGAACTTAAGTGACATCACAACTGAAAGGGAGTAAAAAAGGAAGAACTCTGCAGGAGGCCCACATCTAACTTTCAGACTGTGACTACGTAGAGATATTTCAAAATGCTTTCAAATCGTACGTGCTTTTTGGATCTGTGGGAGCATTTCCGAATATTAAGACAACTGAATGCTTCTTAGTTTGGAATTATTCCAAGGCCAGGAATTCCAGATCCCTGCAAGGGAGCCACTGCACGTATGTTTAAATATACAAGTGGGTTTTACAATGTCAAGGAGGACAAAAAGGCATACCCCCTCATTATTCTTATTTAAAAGCAGGATAACTTCTTTCAAAAGGTTATTAGGAGAACAAAACTAGTGTGAGTGATAAGTCAATAAATGTGTGTCCTCCTTGCTCTTTCTTTCTTTCTCTTTTTTTTTAGAGTTGGAGTCTCACTCTGTTGCCCAGACTGGAGTGCAGTGGCCGCTCCCGGCCACCGCAGCCTCGACCTGCTGGGCTCCAGCGATCCTTCTGCCTCAGCCTTCCGAGTAGCCGGAACTACAGGTGCGCGCTACCACACCCAGCTAATTTTTTTTGATTTATTGTAGAGATGAGGTCTTGCCAAGTTGCCCAGGCGGGTCTCCTTGCTCTTTCTACGTCTCAAGGCTGTTGCAGCAAAAAGATGTGAAGTGTTTAGAAAATACACAGCACTATTGAAAATGCAGTGTATGATGACTGCTGTTTATCATTGCAGATGTGGAATCAATAATTATCTGTGTGATGGATGCCAGATGCAAATAATAACCAGGGCTCCTGGCATCTGTCTCCCTATAATCAGCCTTCCCCATCTCTCCTAGTCAACCACATGAATCACACACATCTTTAAATTAGAAACTTGCCTGCTACAAATGTCTCGTGAAGGAGCCAATGTTATGATAATTCATTTTTCTCATGATATGCACTTAGTTTTACTCCCATATTCCTGTATTTCTTGTAAGATATTCACCATGAAGAATGTTTCTTGGCTATTCCAAGCAAAAATCATCTAGATTAAAAATAGCTGCAGAATCTACACATGTAAGTCATCTTTAGCTTTTGGTTTCTTCAGAATTAATAAATGTAGACCATTTCTTTATCATACTTATTCTTGAGAGTCCCTAACACTTTGTAAAGGAACCTCAAGCTTCTCCAGCCCGACTAACCAGTGCTGACACTGCCACCTGAGAGTGAGACACTTGGCAGACATTGGGACGAGGAGATGAGTGCCTGCTGCCTGCCGAGGGCTGGTGCAGGGCTGCAGCTTGTGGGTGTGTAGGTTGTGGATGATGGAGACTCAAGCTCAGCCTTGCCTTGCTCACCAAGGTGGGCACCTACTGGGTTGTGCCCACCCAGAGGGGTGCCTTTTCTGACTGAAAGCACTGTAGAGGCTGGTCTTTCCAGCAGGAAAGACTCTTCTCTGCTGTTTTCACTTGTCTGATCTTGCTAGAAGATAGGGCTGGAATTTCCTTCTCTAAAGCAGGCTGAAGAAACCTACAGACTCTGCAAGGACTTACTGAGTGTGACTGAGTCATTGATCTTGAAGCTGCAAAGGACCCTGTCCACGTTGCGGGCATGTCGGAAACCGTTTCCTCTCACGACAACTTGAAATGACTCTGAAATAAAGAATGACGAGACACATTACTTAGGCATTGGTTAACTATTTTACCAGACTTAAGAGATTTAAAAATTAGTTCAGGTTGAAAATCAAAAGCAACCAGGTAGGTTGCTTTTACCATTTACTAACTCACTCTCACTAGGTGTCCATGATACCTTTGTGCCTACCACCTGGGATGTCTTCCTCCCTTCTCTCTGGTCATACCAATCTTACCCATGTTTCATGTCCAGGCAGTTTTTTTTTAAACTGTGATCATGCAGGGTGGGGGCTACAGGAAAGGGGTCTCCACTTCCTCTTCAATCAACTCAATTCCTTTTTGGTCTGTTTTTACATATTGGATTCCCTTGAAATAATTTCTTTAGAGTCTAGAGTGCCTACACTTTTTGAAAATCACTGCCTTATGGCTTTGCAACTTGCCTGAGCAATGCAGTTTGTCATTACATACTGTCTAGTGTTGTTCATTTGTCTTTTCTCCCCCAACTAGAAAAACACTCCTTTCGGTTGGGAGTTGTTTGAGACCACTATAGTGTTCCTATCTCTGCTGGGCACACACTAGTAATACATAGGTTTATGTGGGAATAACTTGACTTAATGATGAATCAAAGTCAGTTGTCAAGCATTACCTACTTGAACAGACACTGGCCCCTTGAATAATACTCTGAATAAAAGAATAATATATATATAAAATACATAGTGGGTTTGCATATTAATTTTACATTGGCATAATATATGCTCAATTAATACATGTAAATAAAATCCATTTTAAGTTAAAAACAACTATTCTGTACAGTAGTCCTACCAAGGGGGGAAAAACTCCAATAAGTTAGTTAGCTAAATATTTAGGAATATTTGATGGTATCTAATAGTCCAATGTTTCACTTTCTTTAAACTTTATAGTCCCATTGTGTATAAAATATGGGGTTTAGGATAATGCTGTGTGACATATAAAAAAATAAATCGACTAAAAGAGGAAAGATGCACTATTTGTGAAGATCCTAAACTGTAAATTACTATCTAAATGAAGACTTTTTGTTGGAGAAAGAATGGAATTACAGAACTAGCATATGGGACTCTTTCAAAGTTTAGTAAATGTCATGAGTGTATGTCACCTTCACTTCCATGATCTAATTTAGAGACCATGTTTGCCAAGATAACAGTAACTGATGTTAATTGCTCCCTCATTTTGTGCCAGGACCTGTGACCATGTTTAATGTCATTTAAACCTCACCACAGCCCAGGGAGGTACAGACGAGAAAACTGAGCTTAGTGAAGGTAACTTAATTTGTCCAAGATCACAGCAACTGTCAGAATCAGTACTAGAATTCAGGTCTACCAGGCACTGAATACCATGGCCTTAGAACTCACCCACTATTCCTTTAACCACCATGCTAAAATGAATACTATTTTATGACAGATGCATAGTCTAGAAGTTGGAGTTGTGATTTTTTTTGACTTTATTTTATTTTTAGGCAGGTTTGCTCATTTTGCAGAAAAGTGGAACTGACCTGGATGTAAAGCAAGAAACTAAAATCTAAGAAAAAGAACCCAAAGGTACTACATGAGCCACAAAGAGTACAAATTAGAACAGAGTACTTTTTAGAAGTATGAGACCTTAATGATAAAGAATGAAGATATTTTAAATGATTTGCCTAGAGTCATGAAATTAGTAAGCAGTAAAATCGGACCTCATATCCAAGGGTTTCATGCCTCAGTTTTGAACTATATTAATTGAGGTCACAGTATATGGTTTTTCAGGAGCATAAGTCCTATGACTAAGAAGAATTTATATACATGTTGATGCATATATGCTAAACTTAGAAAGATGAACTTAATAGTTTTCTTTAGATGTCTGCCAAATATATGATGGATCACTCAGTTGGTACAATACGCATTTTATTAAGTGTCAAGCATTGTGGAGGAATCTTATTTGCTCAAATAATACTATAGAAACCTATTTCTGTATGCAGTTTGAATGCCAGATATACAGAAATCTGCCATTTGACATTTTTGCTGATTCCAAATGTTTTCTGCTTCATTGCTGTGCCTACTTCTTTCCTCAAAGATCAGCAGAGGAAAAGAAGACTCTGGAAATGCAGGCCACATGCCAAACTCTCTTCTCTAACATCATGTTCTAACATTACCAGTTCAGTTGCTAAATCCTCTATAAAAGAGGCTGCCCACATGTCTGCTTGGCTCAACCTCAGGAAGTTTAGGAAGAAAGACAGCAGGAATCCATGAGGTGGCAATGGTGGAAACCAAACCAAACCCTCAGGCCTGGTGACGGAGGAAATGATGCTTTGGGAAGTACACCAGAGCAGAGGCGAGCTCCCATCCCGTCTGATACAGTTTCTGTGTTAGTGCACATTTGGTTTCCAGAAGAGCCCAAACATCTGACCCGGCAGTCTGACTGGAAGTCAACTTTTCACACATAGGTGTTATGTAATAAAACCCTATCGAATGAATCTGCCAGCAACTGAAAACCAAACACATTAGAACCAGGTCATATTGATTTAACTCCATTTATCCACAAAGCCCTGAACCTACCTTACAAAAATGCAGCTACATGTTTTTAGGCAACTTGCATGTTGGGTTACAGCTTCTGTGAGAAGCAACTTGGGATTGTAGGAATTTTTAGAGGAATTTTCCACCTGAAAGTAGTTTTTGATGGAATCTTTTAAGATATATATCTTTTAAGGTATCTTTAAGATATATATTCATTTTGATTCTTTGGTCACTGTTATTCTCAACTACAGTTAAATCTTCCTGATGGCAGAAGCCAGCATTTCTATTTCTCCTGGGTTGGCTGTGCCTAACTCAGGACTGAGTCTCAGTATAAACTCATTGAATGAATGAATAAATAATATATCTTGACACAGAACGGGAATAAAGGGGAAGGATAAGGTGGCCATTCATTCAAGTACCAGCCAGGTATAATCCTGTTTATTTTCTGAGGTTTCATAAGGTCTGTGAATGAAAAGATGCTTCAACATCAATTGTCATTAGGGAAATGCAAATCAAAACCACATGGAGATAGCACTTCATACCAGTTATACTATCTACAATAAAAGAGATGGACAGTAACTACTGCTGGTGAAGAAATTATAACTCACATACATTTCTTGTATAAACGTAAAATAATGCAGTCACTTTGAAAAATACTTTGGCAGTTCTTCAAAAAGTTAAACATAGTTATTTTATGACCTTCCAAATTCCATTCTAGACATATACCCAAGAGAACTGAAAATGTACATCCATACAAAAACTTTTATATGTATTTCACAGTAGCATTATTCACAATAGCTAAAAAGTAAAAACTGGAAAAGTTAATCAACTGATTAATAAAGCATTTTTATACAATAGAATATTATTCAGTCATAAAAAGAAATCAAGTTCTGATACATGCTATATCACAGATAAATCTTGAAATCATTATGCTAAATGAAAGAAGTTAGATGCAAAAAACTACATATTGCATGATTCCATTGATATGAAATGTCCAGATTAGCATATCCTTAGGGACAGAGAGTAGATCAATGGCTGCAAGGGATTGAGGGAGGGGGAAACAGAGAGTAACTGCTTCATGAGCATAAGGTTTCTTTTTGGGGTGATGAAAATATTCTGAAATTAGATAATGGTTATGGACATACAACTTTGTGTTATATTAAAAAACACAGGCTGGGCTCGGTGGCTCAGCCTGTAATCTTTGCACTTTGGGAGGCCAAGGCTAGTGGATTGCTTGAGCCCATGGGTTCAAGACCAGCTCGGACAACTTGGCAAGACCTTGTCTCTACAACAAATCAAAAAATTAGCCAGGCATGGTGATGCTTGCCTGTAGTTCCAGCTACCTGAAAGGCTAAGGTGGAAGGATCGCGGGAGCCCAGCAGGTTGACGCTGGGGTGGCCGTGAGTGTGCCCCTGCATGCCAGCCTGGGCAACAGAGTAAGACTCAAACTCAAACAAAACAAAATAAAACACCCTCCCACAGAATTGTATTTTTAAAAGGGTGAATTTTATAGCATGTGAATTCTAGTTCAACAAAAAAAAAAAAGAAAGAAAAGAAAAGAAAAAAGGAAGTCAGTGACTGGTTTGGTAAACTTATTCCATTTTGTTTTCTGCTTTTATTTCTTTTCTTTTTCTTTTTGGAAATGTGGAACACATAGTTTTGAGATGACCTCAATAAAGATTGCCTGTCTTCATTGTTTCTGAAAACGAAACATCTGCATATTCTCTACTTGCTCTGGTCTCCCCAGACTTTAGTGCCAAATTATTGCTAATTATATTTCATCTTGTGAGTCAGTTTGAATTTTCTCTCCTATTAGAAGCTTACTGTGGCATGTAGCACCTAAAATATAGTAGAGAGATTGATGTTTTATAGATGCTTCTGATGCCTGAATCATAGAAGCTTTTTCTTTTATAGCTATTTATTCATAACAGCTTTAGTGAGGTATAACTGACATACAAAAACTTAGACATAAAGTGTACGGTTTGATACACTTTGACATATGTATATAATCATGAGGCAATACCACAGTCAAGATGGTGAACACATCCATCACTCCTCAAAAGCTTTCTTGTGCCATTTTATAATCTTTCTTCCTGCCCCTCTCCACCTCCATTCCCATGCAGCCACTTATCTGCTTTCTGTAACTGTATACTAGTTTTCATTTTCTAGAATCTTATGTAAATGGAATAATACAGTAAGTAATTTCTTGTTTGACTTCTTTTACTCAGTATAATTATTTTAGAATTCATCCTCAATTATTTTGAGATTTATGCATGATTTATTTATTTTTTGTTGTGGAGTATCATTTCACTGTATGGATACACTACAATTTGTGTATCTATTTACTACTTGAGTTTACATTTTTTGGCTGTTAAAAATATAGCTGTTACGGGCTGGGTATGGTGGCTCATATTTGTAATCCTTGCACTCTGGGAGACTGAGGTGGACAGATTGCTTGAGCCCAGAAGTTTGAGACCAGCCTGGGCAACATAACAA